AGTTCCATGATGATATAGAAAGTCATCTGCCTGAAGTTCATCCTGAAACTTAACTGAATGGAAGTTCTATGAGGACAGGATATTTCATAGTAGGTACTCAATAAAAAAAAATTATTTAACTAAGCCAGCCTTAGCAACTTAGCAAGGCCTTAACCAACTCAGTGAGATCCTGCCTCTAAACAAAATATAAAAAAGGGCTGGGGATGTAGCTCAGTGGTTAAGCACCCCTAGGTTCAATCCCCAGTAACCCCAAATATGTTCATTTAATGAATTGGGCTTTAGAATACACAGATTTTAGTAGTAATCTAGCACTATCTAGCTGTGTGAGACATTCAACAATTACTTCCCTACCTCTAAGTCTGTTTCCAGTATGTTGAATGAGCATGAACTAACTCTCTCTCTCTCTCTCTCTCTCTCTCTCTCTCTCTCTCTCTCTCTCTCTCTCAATAGCTTGTGTAAAATGTGTTTATCAAGCAATCTAAAAGTTATCAACTTCTTTTCTCTTTTAATCTGTAAATTACATTGTTCAAGCAAATTTGTACATGGGAGCACAGTACAAAAAGCTACTTAATGTGAGCTTGTGTGGATGGAAGACACTGAGGACCCAAGGAGCACAGTTTGAAAGGGCCTGAGACCTGTGCTGGGGTTCCACAATGCCCACTGAGATTCTGATTATTTTGGTCTAAGATAGGTCCTAAGATTCTGGATGAATAAGATCCCTAGGAGATTCTGATATGAAGCTATATTAGACATAACTTAACTAGATGCTCTAAGGTCCCTGCCAGTACTGACATTTTATGCTTCTACATTTTCCTTTGGCAGTTAATTTGGGAAGTATCATCAAACCATCACCTTTGCCTATAAATTAAGTTCTACTACATTTCTAGTATAGTCAATAACAACTAAAAGTTACTGAGTACCAATTTAATGCCAGACACTGAGTTAAATGATTTATATATACTCTCTGATATGCATGTGTATGTGTATGTGTGTGTGTGTGTGTGTGTGTGTGTGCACATTCTTTGATTCACTTCTCACAACCTTATAAGGTAGATTATACTCTCTAATTCATGGATGAGAAAAACAAACTCAACAAATGCAAGTAACATTGCCAAGATCCCACTGCCAATAAATAAAACTCAAATCTAAAGCAGATTCCATAAACACCTGAGTCAGATTTTCTTTGGCTTCTGAGCCAAAGAGGTCAAGAAAAAGCCAGAGAATGCCAACTAAAGGCATACATATCTTGCTCTAAAGAAGTGATAAATATGCAGTGAGACACCAACTCCCACTAGTCCTTTCTATACACAGAGAGTTTAGGATAGGTCCTAGAGTTCATCATCAAGGGAAGAAACTCTTCAGAGAAGCCTTAGGCTTTCCTCTGTGTGCTCTAGAGTAACTGCCATCTCTCCTAGGATCTGAAATGCGGTTTACACTACTGAGTTACCTCTTGGAGCCGTCATAAAAAGTATACTATGGAAAGGCCCTCTGCACATATAATGTGAGATCTAAAAACACAACCCAATATTCCATCTTACTATACTTTTTATGAATTTTTCCAGTGAAACAGAAGATTTACTGAGGCAAGGCCAGTAATGTTGGTGATTAAAGGTTGGTACACTCTGCTGTCTCAGCTTTCAGGGCAATTGTACTTTCCCAACAATAGCCACCCAGTACGGCCCCCAAGATTTCTTCTCAAAGCCCCAAAGAGTCAGCCTCAGCTGTTAGAGCACTGGCTCTTCCTCTCACTCCCACCACAAATCCCAGTTTTTAAAATGATAAATTCAACAAGGATAATAGGCCAATGGATTTTCAAAATCTCTCTTCAGTTCCCATTAATAAAAGTCAGTTCCTTAGAGTAATGGGCAGATGATAATTAGGAGTTCCTGAAATTGGCAGGCAAATGATGAGTGAGTTAAAGAGTTATTGTAAATCATACATCAAGAAGCAAAGATGTCACAGGCAACAGCTCTCATGGAGCCCACAGACACCCACAGGAATCTGGCAGTGCCAGATTTTATTTTGGTCTGAAAGTCACTATACTCAAGCTCACACACCCACTTTTTCCAGCATGGCATTAGTTGACAACTGTGCTGACATTCAGAGGGGTGAAAGAGTTGAAACACAAAGTTCAATATAAAGGTTGACATGGGCAATGACTCAGGCCTACTGCTTGGCTTTGAGGCAAATGGGTACTTGTTCAAAGTCACACCATTCTAGCAGAAATGGGAAGTATTTTATGAAATTGCATGTGCCATATATCTTCCACTCTTTTAAAGTCATCAACCGATAGGTAAAACAGAATCTATTTTAAGAAATAAATACAGGACTAGGGATATAGTTCAGTGGCAGAGCCCTTGCCTACCATGTATAAGATCCTGGGTTCCAACTCTATCACTACAAAAAAATCAGATCTTATATCAACAATAATGTTGAAATAGCTAACATTTACTTAGGCACTGTGCATACTTGGCATTTATTATCTCATCCCCAATTTATGTATGAGAAAAATTAATACTCAAAGAGGTGACATCACTTTCCAAAAGTTATGCGGCTAATAATCTGCAGAGCTGCAATTCAAATTTGGGCTGTCTGACTCCAGAGCCCATGATCTGTCTTTTTAATAAGTCATGCCCTTGAACAAGGATAGATACACAGAAGTAGAATGAAAGGGCATCAATAGGGAAATAATCCAAATACAAATAACTACCTCACTTAGCCAGTTAACCAAAATATTTACCAATCTTACTCTCATAAAAATATTAATTGCAATTCTAATTGTAATAGTAAAATTTTTGAAAGAAATAAAGTGTAACTTCTATATTAATATAATACTAATATATCCATTATTTATTCATTTAGCAAACATTAATTGAGCACCTATTATATACCAGGAACTCCTTTATGTGCAGGGGAAACAAGAGTGAACAAAACAATATCCAATAAGCTAATTCTGTGCAGGGAATACCCTGTTTGTTATCATAATTTTATATTTTGTTATTAAAATATACCACAGGAGGCACCTATATTTTTTGAGAGAGAGAGAATTTTAATTTTTTTTTTTTTTTAGTTTTCGGCGGACACAACATCTTTGTTGGTATGTGGTGCTGAGGATCGAACCCGGGCCGCACGCATGCCAGGCGAGCGCGCTACCACTTGAGCCACATCCCCAGCCCGGCACCTATTAATAATAATACACTTCTATATTTTAGTTCTGGGGCTTATAAATGTAACCATTAACATTTTCCAGTAATATTAGATCATCCATAATAGTTCTATGGTTCAATGTTCTCATCTGGAAAATGTTTTAAACTAACCCTTTAACTCAAGGTCAGCAAACTTTTTCTTAACCAGCCAGAAAGTAAACATTTTAGTCACTGAGGGCCATGTATCACTGTCACTACCACTCAATGCTGCTGTTGTACCATAAAAAAATACCCATAGATAATACTTGAAAATAATGGTGACTGTGTTCCAATAAGACTTGATTTACAAAAATAGGTGATAGACTGCCCTTAGCACAAGGGCCACAGTTTGTTGACTCTTGCTTTAACTTCATAACAACTAAAGCAAACACAGAGTTTCATTTACTTCCACTGTTTAATTTCATCTTAGTAACATCTTTTTAAAAAAATATTTTTAGGAGGCTGGGGTTGTGGTTCAGCGGTAGAGCGCTCTCCTACCATGTGCGAGGCCCTGGTTTGATCCTCAGCACCACATAAAAATAAATAAACAAAAATAAAAGTATTGTGTACAACTAAAAAATAAACTTTAAAAAATATTTTTAGTTGTAGATAGACACAATGACTTTATTTCATGTATTTATGTGGTGCTAAGGATCAAACCCAGTGACTCACACATCTAGGCAATCACTTTTCCACCGAGCCACAACCCCAGCCATTGGTAACATCTTTGAGATGTTCACCACATTTTATAGAGGACAAAAATGAGACTCAGAGAGGGAAAATACCTTTTCCAACATCACACAGCTAATGGAACAATTTGTTCAATCCATTTACCAAGGGAGATGCCAACTTCCTGTTGTCTGAAAACATGTACTTATATAAACACTAATTTTTAAGCTTTCCAGGGGAATTTGTTCATTATAAGAACACTACTTAAAGGTCATTTAAAAAAAATACACAAAATCACTCTTTACATTATCCACTACAGAAATATTTATTTTACTGCATTAGATGCTTTAAAGGAAAGTCCCCCTGCAGACTGAGTCAAGGACTTCAATGGAGGTTTACAGATGTCTTGATTGGGGCTTTTTTTTTTTTTTTGATACTGGGGTTAATGAACCTAGGGGCCCTTAACCACTGAGCCACATCCCCAGCCATTTTTTATATCTTATCTAGAGACAGGTTCTTGCTAAGTTCATGAGGCTGGGGAACCATCCTCCTGCCTCTGCCTCTTGAGTGCTGGGATTACAGGTATGCACCACCCTGCCTGCTCTTGATTGCTTGTGTTGTGAGTAAATCACTAACAGAAAGTTTCCTCATCTTTCCTAAGCAGCCTTCCAGGGACTGGACACTGGACCAGACAAAATGAAGACATGCAAGTGTTCAGTATCTGCAAACCAAGGAAGCCACACAGCCTTGGGCCTACCTTAAGAGGTACAGGGCACAGTAGCCCATGCCTGTAATCCCAACATCTTGGGAGGCTGAGGCAGGAGGATCAAAAACTCAACCTCAGCAATTTATTGAGGCCCTAAGCAACTTAACAAGACCCTGTGTTAAAAAAAATTAAAAGGGGGGGGGCTGAAGTTATGGCTCAGTTGGTAGAGTGTTTGCCTTGCATATGTAAGGCACTGGGTTTGATCCTCAGCACCACATAGAAACAAATAAATAAAATAAAGGTATTAAAAAAAACTAAACTAATAAAAAATAAAAAGGGCTGGGAATGTGGCTCAGTGGTAAAGCACCTCTGGTTCAATCCTTAGTTTAAAATAAGAGAGAGAGAGAAAGGTATATGGCCACATGAAACTGAAGACTCACCAATGTTAATCTCATCGTCAGTCAGAGTGTCTCCAATAAAATCAAATTGAAAGGACTGCAGCGTCTGGGAAAATTTCTGAACAGCAGAGGAGTAATCTGCAAAGAAAGGAGGACAGGAGAAATAGTCAACATTGTTACCCTTTAATTGCTTTCATCATGTCTGTTAGAGTATATAGAGAACAAAGGAAGTGTTCTGGACAGGTAGCAACTTGCACTTAAAGAAGTCAAACAAAAGATCATACTTTCAGAAGGAAATTTAAGCAACTAAACTATAAATTAAAGAACAGGAGAATGAGATGGCTTAGTGAAGTCCTTCTTAACATTAGGGGATATGCTTCATGGCTACACCCTGCTCCTCTCTGACTAGTTTTACTCAAAGCCTGGAAGACCTGAAACTACATAGTTGCACTCTTTTAATTTATGTATTTTATTTATATTGGTGCCAGGATTGAACCCAGGGTTGTGTTACCAGTAAGCCACATCCCTAGCCCTTTCTTATTTATTTATTTATTTATTTATTTATTTACTTATTTACTTATTGAGACAGGTTCATGCTAAGTTGCTTAGGGCCTTGCTAAGTTGCTGAGCCTGACTTTGAATTTGCAATCCTCCTGCCTCAGCCTCCTGAACCACTATAATTACAGGTGTGGACCACCATGCCTGGCTATAGTTGTACTCTTTTTACTTTTTATTTATTTTATGTTTATGCAGTGCTAAAGATCAAACCCAGTGCCTCACACGTGCTAGGCAAGTGCTCTGTAACTGAGCTACAGCCCAAGGCCCTATAGTTGCACTCTAAAGGGCCTGCTTTAAGGATTTGTTAAACCTCCATTATAAGCAGTGAAATAAATGCATTCTTAAGTTTCATATAAAAATATGCACAATCGATCTACAAAGAAAGAATGTATCTCCATTTTAGAGATATAGCACTAAAGATCCCAGACCTAGGTGGCAGTGCTAGAACTAGAAGCCAGGTGGTCAGTCTGCCTCTACAGGGGCCTCCCCATGACAACATGCATGCAACCAGGACATTTTACACATTAAACCAGATGACAGCCTGGGTTAAAACATTGCCTACAAAGAGAACAGATTTAGCTTGTTCACAGGATATTTACCAAGGGACCTTGCCTAAGGAAGCAATGAATAGTGTGTGTGTGTGTGTGTGTGTGTGTGTGTGTGTGTGTGTGTGTGTGTGTCTCAGAGTGATCTAAATGGATAAATGTTTTTATTTTTGGTCAATGATTTTGAATTTTAGTATATAATTTTTTAATTAGTTTTATTTTATCTTTTTTTACAGCTTTATTTTGCTTATTTTTAAGTTGTGCTGAGGCTGGAATTCAGTGCCTCACACATGCGAGGCAAGTGCTCTACTGCCAAGCCACAACCCCAGCCCCTAGTATATAAATTTTTAAAATGATATAAACTAAAATCCTATTTAGCTACAGTTTTGAGAATTTTTTTTTGTACCAGGGATTGAACTTAGGGGCACTGGACCACTGAGCCACATCCCCAGCCCTATTTTGTATTTCATTTAGAGACAGGGTCTCACTGAGTTGCTTAGCACCTCACTTAGTTGCTGAGGCTGGCTGGGATTACAGGCATGGGCCACTGAGCCCAGCTAAGAAATTATTTTTAAATATGACTTTCTGCCAGGCCTCTAAGCCAAACAACCTCTTGACTCTTGCTACTCCAAGAATGATTCTTAGGTCAGCAATAGCATCATCACCTGGAAGCCCCACCCAAGACCTCCTAAATCAGAAACTGCATTTTTAACACAATTCTTAGGGGATTCATATATCTGTTAACCCATTTTGTCCCAGCATCCCAGATATCATATTTACACAATGTCCTACTTATAGAACAGTTTATATATGTAAAAGATACTATGTTGTCTTAATATCCTATTTATAGCACAATCTATTATCATTCCAAATGATAATAAACAATATGTAAGCTCTAGATTATTATAAGAGTGGAAACTTGATTTGATAAAGGTGTATGGATAGGGGACCTCAGAGGTACTCAGATTTAGACAAGTTCATCAGGGTAGAGCCCCCATGATTGGAACCTGGGAGAATTATAAGAAAAAGAAGAAACTACAGAGATACACAGACATTCACACACACTCCCTGCCTCTTGACCTTGCTATATGATGCCCTGTACCGCCTCAGAACTCTGAAAACAAGAAAGCATGTGGCCACTCATATTTGTACCTCCATAATCATGAACCAAAATATACCTCTTTTCTCTAAAATATCCAGTCTATAAGTGTTGTGTTATTAGCAACAGAAAATGGACTAATACCAACACTACATTTTCCTAGAGTTTCATAAAATGGAATCATATAAAACATACATTTTATGTCCAACTAAAGTCTGCACAATACTTCAAAAATTAATCCACATTATCATGTGTATCAGCAATTCATTTTTTATTGCTAAGTAATATTCCACTGTGTAAATATATTAAAATGTGTTCATTTACTCATCTATTCATGCATATTTATGTCTTTTTTGTTTCTCATAATTGTAAATAAAGCTGCTGTAAACATTCACAAGGCTGAGTTCAGTGATGCAAACCTAATAATCCCAGCCACTCAGGAGGCTTAGGCAGGAGGGCAGCAAGACTAAAGCCAGCCTCAGCATCTTAACAAAACTCTCAGCAACTTATTGAGACTCCATCTCAAAATTTAAAAAAATTAAAATGGACTGAGGAATGTAGCTCAGTGGTAAAGCACCCCTGGGTTCAATCCCTGGTACTGAAAAAAATATCATGCAAAGACTTTCGAGGATACATTTTCAATTCTTATGGGTAAATACCTAGAAGATCAGTAAGTGGGTTATATGGTAAGCTAGAAATTATGCTTATATAAGAAAAGGTCAAAATGTCTTCTAAAGTAATTTACTATTTCCTATTTATATTAAAAATGTATAAAAATTTTAGATGATCCACATACTTACCAACACCTGTCAATTTACATATTTATTTTCATTTTAGAAATTTTAATGGTAGTACAGTGTTATCTCTCTGTAATTTTAATTTGCACTTTCATGATAAATAATGGTACAATCTTATATGCCAACTGGATTTTAATAACCTCTAGATAGTTTCTCTTCTTATCATTGAGCTGAAAGATATCTTCATATATTCTAGATATAAGTTTTTCATCAGACTATGTACAGCAAATATTCTCTAAATCAACTAAAGGCTTCACAATCTGAGTAATGTTTATTCTAGAAAAAGGAATGAACCTAAGTAAGAACAGTGACCTTTATTGCTGTATTAAGTTATGTTAATCATATCAATGTCTCCCCAGCATCATTGAAAATCACAGCCTTACAGCTGCAATAACTGTGAAAACCAACATTTTAGCAGCCACTGGAGGAGGAAAAATGTTATTGGAGTTTCTTAAGGTTTCCCCTCAGAGAATTATCACTATTTATCCAGTTTGACAGGTCCTGAAAGCTTCATTGTCAGGGCTTATATTTGCTTGTCCCAACTTGAAGCTCATTCTGTGAAAACAACACAACCATGAGAATATTTGTTGAAAACAATCATCCAAAATTTTTAGTGACTACCATTATAAATGGAGGGGGATGATATAGTGTATTTTTTAGTTGTAGTTGGACACAATACCTTTATTTATTTATTTTTACGTGGTGCTGAGGGTCAAACCCAGTGCCTTCCACATACTAGGTGAGTGCTCTACCACTGAGCCACAACCTCAGCCCCAATATAGTGTAATTTTGATTTGCATTTCCATGATTGCTAAGGGTGTTGAACATTTTTAAAAATATATTTGTTGGCCATTTATATTTTTCTTTTGAGAAATTTCTATTTGTATCATTTAGCCATTTATTAATGTGGATTTTAGTGTTAAGTTTTTTGAGGTCCTTATACATGGTGGGTATTAATCACCAGTCAGAAAACTAGCAAAGACTTTGTCGGCTCCCTCTTCGTGCTCTCAATTATTTCTTTTGCTGTGCAGAAGCTTTTAAATTTGATGCTGTCTCAGTTATTGATTCTTGCTTTTATTTCTCGAGCTCTAGGAATCTTGTTAAGGAAGTCAGTTCCTGTGCCAATATGATGAAGTGCTGAGCCTATATTATCTTCTAGCCAGTGCAGGGTTTCTGATCTAATTCCTAGGTCTTTAATCCATTTTGAGCTGACTTTTGAGCAGGGTGAGAGATAGGGGTTAAATTTCATTCTGCTGCATATGGATATCTAATTTTCCCAGCCCTATTTGTAAAAAGGCTATATTTTCTCCAATATATGTTACAGGCACCTTGTCTAATATGTGATAACTACATTTATGTGGGTTTATCTCTGTGTCTTCTGTTCTATTCCATTAGTATTTATGGCTGTTTTGATGCCATTACCATGATATTTCTGTTACTATGACTCTGTACTACAATTTAAAATCAAGTTTTATGATTGCTTCCAGCATCAGGCTTACTGTTCAGTATTGTTTTGGTAATTCTGGGTTATTTATTCTTTCATATGAATTTTAGGACTCAAATTATTCAAAATTGTGGTGGCCTAAGACAACTTGACAAGTTGGGGTTAACTCTTGGTTAAAAAAAGAGACAGATGATGACAATTAGACAATGAATGCCTACATGGGGTTTTGAAAAGCTCCAAACATATCCTGAGAAATCTAGAAAGACATGCATGTGAAGGCATTTGTGCATACCCTGGGTTGTGTGCATGCTCATGAAGGATTTGAGTACCTAATTTCTCATCCCTGACTAATCTTGCACAAATAGAAAGAAAATGGTAAGGCAAAATTTTCCATTTCCTATCTGAATATTAAAGGCCTACCCCTATCCCCATGCACACATCCAAACTCCTTCAGCAAAGATGAAGAGCCTTACTAGTTTCTATTATTTAATGAAACCATTGTCCAAACATTAGGTTTCCAGTAAATTAGCCTACTAGACATTTCTGTGACTTCATAAAACAATTATACATACTTTACATAATTATTCTATAAAGTTAATAAACAATAATCCTAAAAAATGACACCAAATCCT